GCGTATGGGAGAGAGAAACAACAAGGTTTTTAAAAAACCCCGCCCGTGGATCCCTTCAGCATATTAAATTAATACTTCACAAAATCTCCATAGCCACATTTTCTTTCTTCTTCCCTTGCCTTTGTAAACTTTATTTTTATTCTCTCTGCACAAATTGCGGAAAACAGAATGACAGCACAAAAACAGAACAGCAGGAACAGCAAAAGTGTTTCGCTGCATGATACATTTACTGTACCACAGCTTTCACCAAAGAATTCTGGGAACTGAAGTTTGTTAAGGGTGCTGCGAGACTTCTTTTCTCCACACAGAACTGCAACTCCCAGCATTCCATGGGAAGAGGAGAGGATAGTTGAACCACTCTGGAAATGGTAGCTCTCTGAGGGGAATAAGGGTTTCCCACCGGCGAAGCGTGTCTTCATGGCGCCCGGCCCAGAGGTGCAGGGATGTGCTGGGGGGTGGGGCTTGCCAGCCCAGCCCTCGCTGCCACCATGATACCAGGCCCGATCCGCTTTGCAAGGCTGGGATGACCCCACTAGGGTGAGAAGCATTGCCTTTCTGTGCAAATTGGACTTGTTATTTCGAAATATGCTTTCATACATAAAAGCCAGCATATGCAATTCTTATGCAAATCTGGGTCCTCTTTTTGACTTATTTCCAATGATCTGTCCCCCTCCCTCTTTTCTCTCTCTTTTTTTAAGCAGTTCACACAAAGCTGCCTAACACAAAATTGACAGGCGCATCTACGGAGGTGATTGGAGTTCTTGAACCATGTTCTCCCACGCACGAAAATATGCATTTATGAGCTTTGATTCCTACACAGTGCTCCTGGTGAAATTTTGATATGGATTTTTTGAAGATGTAAAGGATGGATAAGACATTTAATCAATGTCATAAAAAATGTAAAATCCATTGGTCTTCTAAAATGAAATTAATAATCTGTGCAATAAGTATCATTAGGAGATAAGTGACGTTTTTTAGACTTTGATTTGCACCGCGTAGCAAATCTTGCTTCCATGCATTTCAAACACCTTGAGCTCCATCCATCTTGATTAAAACATACCCAAACCTTGGTGACCCCATTGGAGTGGTCCATCAAATTCCATTCCCCCCCCCTTATAATATCCTTAGGGATGGGGGTGGGATACATCATTGCCTGCATCCTTTGCTCATAATGAGGGGGAGAAAGGAGGCATGGCTCCATATCATATTCAAATTAAATCTGGGATTTCAATACTCCCTGATTATCAGGAAGCCTTGTCATTCACTAATAAATTTCTCCTTCATCTCACGCTGAATAGGCCAGACATCTCACTTAAATACCGAAAGGGGGAAAATGAAGAGGAGAAGATGATCTTGCTAAATGGCTGGGAAAATGCAAAATATAAAGCCATCTCCTTGCAAACCAAGCCAGAATCCTCTTTCCTTTGTGAAGAATGGGGACACCTCAATGGCGTGCAGAGCACCTGCTTTGAACACCAAAAAGGTGCCCAGATACACCTCATCTCCAGGGAAAAACATCCTCAAGAAGCGGGGTGGGAAGGCTTCTTGCTTCAAGTTAACTAATTAGTTATATTTTACATATTTCTGGGCTGCTTTGAGGACTGAACCTTTCTGAAGGTGTCTCCCAAGCATATAAATGCAATGCAGTGTGGTCAACATCAAAGCACAATTAATGAACACCAGCTAAACTTTATATTTATGTATTATTAAATTTATATTCCGCTTTTCCTCCCAAAGTAGCCTAGGGTGGGAAAGACTCCTGTCATTTATTTTATTTTATGGGGGGGGGGATACAAAATTAAAAATGAAATAATTCCCTATTCAAAACATTTAAAAACTGTTTCAAAACACATGAAAACACCACACTTCATAAAACACCTAAAACAAATTTAAGAACAGCCCAGTGCAGTACATCTCCAATGGCTGATTCCTTCTCCTCTTCCTCCTACTGTGAAAAGGTAAGGTAAAAAAGGTAGAGGACCCCTGGACAGTTAGGTCCAGTCAAATGCGACTATGGGGTTGTGGCACTCATCTCGCTTTCAGGCTGAGGGAGCTGGCGTTTGTCCACAGACAGCTTTCCGGGTCATGTGGCCAGCATGACTAAGATGCTTCTGGAGCATCAGGACACATTGCTGGAAGCCAGAGTGCACGGAAATGCCGTTTACCTTCCCATTGTAGCGGTACCTATTTATCAACTTGCACTGGCTTGCTTTCGAATTGCTAGGTTGGCAGGAGCTGGGACAGAGCAATGGGAGCTCACTCCGTCGTGGGGATTTGAACTGCCGACTTTCCAATCGGCAAGCCCAAGAAGCGCAGTAGTTTTTAGCACAGCGCCACCAGCATCCCTGAAGAGGAAGGAGGGTCAAAGCAGCCTCCTGCTGGGGCCAGCACCCACAACAGGAGGAGCAGGAGCCGTCAACCATTGAAGGTGGCTCCTCCCAATGTTCCGACATCACTTGCTAAATGTGAGAACATCACACGCATGTGACGTAACACCATGAGGTAGTCCCCTTCCCCAAATCACCCTCTCAAGTTGGCACCTCTGCATATGAATCAGCATACGCAGTTTTAATACAAATTCCCACTGTACTTTTTTGGGGACATTTCCTCTGTTTTTGGCCAATGTGTCCACACATAGGTTTGTTTTAACTGGCAGAAACATGCCAGCTTTCCAAATGTAACAAGTAACTCCATGTCTGGTTAGAAAAGTATATGAAGGACTGCTAGCTCCCATTTCCCTTCATTTAACAAATTAATTCCCTAATTTCTCCATTAAAATTGTTAAGTTGTGGGTGAACATATCAGACGATACAGCGATTCTTCAAACAGCTCTTCTTTATTCAGATGCCAGAACAGAACTGAACTGAAGGACTCAGTCAGCCTGCTTATATAGAGCTCCTGTACCTTGTTACTGTAACAACTTTCTAAAACTATCCAATCACTGAACGTCACTTTTGATCCTTCATTTGCATAACTATCTACAGTATCCCCCTGCTGGCCCAGGGTGAGAACTTCAGTACATAACAAAAATGCTGCTTTAATTAGCAACGATTTAAAGAAGAAAGGTGGAATAGAAAAGAGAGCAGGAAAAGAGAGAGCGAATGAAACAAAGCAAAGCCATTAAGAACACAAGAAAAAGCCAATGGCCCACTGAGCTCAGCATCCTGCTCTCACAGCGGCCAACAAATTGCCAATGGAAAACTGGAAGTAGGAGCTAAATGTAGCAGTGCTCTCCACACTCAAGTGTCCTAACAAATGGGGAACTGCCATGGAATCAATTTGGTGAAGGGTTCTACATCAATACTCCAAACAAATAAATACATTTGTGATGCAATCATTCTGTTACCATAAAATAATGTCCAAATTTTGCTCAATGAAGGAATGAAGGAATGGGCAAATAGAAGACCCTTGCTATATATAGGTTGGATCTATGCTTGAGTGCCCATAAGACTATAACTACATAAAAAATTTCCTGGCCATAAGATCTTATTAAGAAGGTACATCTCCCAAGAGCACAAAGCCATCATGCTGTAAATTTTATTTAATTTCCCATAGGGTTTTCCACCTTCATACATATAATTAGAGTGCAGCACAGAATTCGGTGTGTGCGTGTGTGTGTGTGTGTTCTCAATAAACCACACCAGGGAATGGTCAACATTTAAGATGACAAGCTTTAACAATTGTTTTCAGGCAACTCCCCCCACCCCCAAGCAATCCTAGTGAGCGCTCCAGGAAGCTAGTCTTTAACTTCCTCTAAATAGAATTCAGGACAATGAATGAATTGAATTTATTACGGTCCCAGACCAGACTCACATACCATACTAAACAAACCAGGAACACAATAAAATTAAGTTTAAATTAACAATCAATATCACGATAAACAATACAGTTATGGCAGCAGTTAAAATATGGTTTAAGTCTTAATCTCTACAATATTATCTATAATTTGCTTCTAGGGCCTTAATCTTTATAACAGCACAGCTGTTTTGTGGCAACTGCGCAAAATTTGACCACCTTTAACATGATCTCTGGATCCTTGTCCTCTAATATCCAGCAAGGCACTGAAGACTTTCCTCTGGCATATTCCTGCATCTGTGGTGGACTTGATATCTGCCTTCAGGGATGTCTTTGATTTGACTGCAGGAAGTCGATATGAACTACTGTAGAACCAAGTAGGGTCAGGTGTCCACAAATTATCTAAAAATTTCAAAGGTTCCCATGATGGGTGTCACTCAGTTCTGTGCAGAGATGTGTTCAAATTCATCATTCACTGGAAGGCAACTCTTTTATAGGACGTAATTACATGCTACAACTTCTGTCTACTAACGCCATTCCTGATGTGCTGCCCCAGAACAACTACCTCCCACTTGCACCTGAATTCCTGCATATATATTGCCAGGAGACCCAAAGTGAATGAAGTACTTTCTGGAGGAGCTCACCTGTGGCTCCCAAAAGCTGACAGTGTGCCACAGCAGCTACATCCCAGGAACGCCTTTGATTGGCCAGCTAAACCAGGTGAGGGTAGTCAATGGGTCTCAAACCTTCAGTGAGTTAGGGACTTCCCCTGCATGGTCTCGAGGTCTGACCTGAAGTTTCTGGTATTTAGCACCCTTCTCAAGCCTTCTGGGAAAGGATTAAAATTTCAACCCAAAGGGACGGATTATGGGACACTGAAGGACAACAGGCTTTCCATATGAACCTGCTCATTTTCTGGTAGCATTACTGGAGCACTGAAGAGCCTAGGACAAGGGTACCCAAATGGAGTGCCTTCTCCCATGTTGCCTGTCAGAGAATATCTGGGGGAAATTCCAATAAATTGGGGTCCTATTCTGTTTCAAGAAGTGGAATTTTGTTAGCAAGACTTGAACCCTGACATATATAGGAACATAGGAAGCTGACTTACACCGAGTGAGACCCTTGGTCCCCCTATCTCAATATTGTCTACACTGATTGGCAGTGGCTCTCCAGGGTTTCAGATGGGGGACACTCCCAGCCCTATGTGGAAAGGTCATGAATTTAAGCTGGGACCTTCTGCATACAAAGCAGATGCTCTAACCATTGGGCAATGGACCTTGCCTTTCCCAGGCACACACTTCAATCTACAATTCATCAATATACCTTTCAAAATGTTGCACTAGAAGTGCAGACTGGAAGGACTGGAAGCACTTCAGCACCAAGCAAGACAAGCCCAACTTGTGCAAACAACTTTGACTACTCAGTCACGTAGATCATCTGTCCCAGCTGTTTTGGGAGTACAAGAAAAGGAAATTGCACATCCTGCATCAGAGGATATGGCAGAGGGAGGATCAGATACCTTCTTAAAACAAATGCTAGAACAATTTGCAATATTGAACAAGAAGGTGGATGACCAATCGGCAAAAATAGATCAAGCCACATCCTCTATTACTAAATTGTCTGACCAAGTTGCACAACATACACAAGTTATTGGGAATCTCAAGGAAGCAACTGTGGAAAATCGGAGACTGGCTGAAGCAGCCAATGAAAAAGCAGAACAAGCAAATCAAAAAGTTGAGGCTATAAAAGGGGAGGTAAGGCCACTACATAAGCACATTAGTGATCAGCAGGCTTACCTGTCTATGGTAGAATTGAGAAACCGGGAAAACAATCTGAGATTAAGAGCTATCCCAGAGCTTGAACAGGAAGATTTAATTGGTTATCTGACAGCAGAATTTTCCAAGTTCTGGGGTATAGAAGAGGACAAAGATTTCAAGATCACAACTGCGTTTAGATTAGGAAGAGTCGTGAGGAGGGACAAGCCCAGAGACTGTTTGATTATTTTGAGATCCAAGCAGGAGAGAGATAAAATACTAGGCCTCCACTTTAAGAAATCACTTGATATCCAAGGCAAAAGAGCAGAATTTTATAGAGATATTCCTAAACAACTTTTGGATCTCAGAGCCACATATACAGACCTAGCAAGACTACTGAGAGGAAACGCGATTCCATATAGGTGGGAGTTTCCCAAGGTTTATCTTTTAATTTTAAAGGAAAGAAAATTAAGATTAAAACATCAGAAGATAACCAGAAGTTCCTGCACGACCACGGAGAAGACCTTCAGAAGGGAGCAGCAGCCTCTTGGCCACCGCCACTGCCTGGAAAAGCACCGATACCTACACCCTCGGGGCCAGAAGAAAAGGAAGACACCCCACTATAGGAACAACAGATTGATTCAGAATGTCTCTGCAGCTGTACAGTTGGAATATAAATGGCGGGAACTCCCCGGAAAAAGACGAAGGATTTTTCATATTTTGAAAAAGAACAATTGGATATTGTTTGCTTGCAAGAAACGCATGTGACTAGGCTCCATAGGAAAGTGTTAATCAACAAAAGACTAGGCCAAGAATTTATTTCATCAGACAAAGTGAAGAAAAGAGGCGTAGTGATTTATGCAAAGGAGAACCTGTCACCGAAATTTTTGTTTAAAGATGAGCAAGGAAGAATTTTGGCAATTGAGATACAAACACAAGGAGAAAAGTTTTTGATTTTAGGAATATATGCACCAAATGAGGGGAAATCGGAATTTTACAAGAAGCTGCATGAGATAATGCTGGACTATCTGGACTATACCAACATCATAATGATGGGCGATATGAATGGGGTGGTTTCTACTCACATGGATAAGTCACAAAATCAAAATTTAACTAAAGACGGCAGACTACCTAAAACCTTCTTTGAACTAACTGATAACATGGACTTGATTGATATTTGGAGGACAAGGAACCCCTTAGGTAAAGAAGGAACATTCTTTTCTGAGGCCCACCTATCATGGACAAGAATCGACCAAATATGGACAACTAGAGGACTGGCACCTAAGATCAGAAAAGTGGAAATCTGTCCAAAGACTTGCTCCGACCATAATGCTTTGAAAGTAGAATTGAGACTTACTCCAACCGGTTCTTTCAGATGGAAAATGAATGACACCCTACTAAGAGATCAGGAGATTGTGAAGAAGGCCCAAAAAACCTTAAAGGACTACTTTGAAATCAATTTGAACACTTCGGTGGAAAAGAGAACAATCTGGGACGCAAGTAAAGCTGTAATGAGGGGGTTTCTGATACAACAGAACACAATCAAGAAAAACTTTGGAATGGGAAAAAAGATAGGATATTAGAGAAGATAAGAGAAGGAGAGAAAAATTGAGATTAAAACCAAAATCAAAAGAGGTTCTAAGAGAAATCAAATTCCACCAAGCTCAATATGCGAAATTGATAAATCAAGAAGTGGAATGGAAAATCAAACAAATGAAACAAAGATCATTTGAATCGGCAAATAAATGTGGAAAACTGCTAGCATGGCAGTTGAAAAAGAGACAAAAATTGAACTTTGTCACTAATCTAGAGGTGGAAGGGAGAAACATTCAGAAACCAGAAGAAATTAGAAAGTGTTTCCAGAAATATTTCAAAAACTTTATACTCAAGGGCCTCAGGAAGTGTCTGAGATAGATCAATTTTTAAAAGTTAACGGTCTATCCAAACTATCTCAGGAGAAGAGGACAATCTTAAATAATAGAATAACACGACAGGAAATAGAGGGTGCCATTCAGAATATGCAACTAGGCAAATCTCCAGGCCCAGATGGACTTACCTCCAAGTACTATAAGACACTAAAAGACTATTTGATACAACCACTAATGGAGGTCTGTAACCAGATTATGGAGGGGAGGAGGGCACCGGAAACGTGGAAAGAAGCTTTCATCACATTGATTCCTAAATTGGAATCTGAAAAGACTCAGCTTAAGAACTACCGTCCCATCTCACTCCTAAATGTGGATTACAAAATTTTTGCTGATATTTTGGCGAGCAGACTTAAAAAATACTTAACGAAGTAATTCATAAGGACCAGGCAGGCTTTCTCCCAGGGAGACATCTTTTTGATAATACCAGGAACATTATTGATATTTTGGAACTTTTACAAACTAATATCAATACGAAAGCTGTGTTAATTTTCATCGATGCGGAGAAGGCCTTTGATAATATTTCTTGGATATTTATGAAGAGAAACCTGGAAGGGATGGGAGTGGGATGGGGTTTGAAAATGGAATAGAAGCAATTTATTCTGAGCAAAAAGCTAAACTGATAGTGAACAATGTGGTGACAGATGAGTTCAAAATTGAAAAAGGGACACGACAAGGGTGCCCCTATCCCCTCTTTTATTTATTTCAGTCCTGGAGGTGTTACTGAACATGATTAGGAAGGACCGGTTGATACAAGGAATACAGGTCGGAGTGAAACAATATAAATTGAAAGCTTTTGCAGATGATTTGGTTTTAACATTACAGGAGCCAGAATCTAGTACAAAAAGAGTATTAGAATTGATTCATGAGTTTGGTCGGGTGGCGGGATTTAAGTTGAATAAGCAAAAAACTAAGGTTTTGGGGAAAAACTTGACACCCTCAGAAATAGATGGGTTTCAGAAGGAAACAGAACTAAGTGTGGTAAAAAAAGTAAAATACCTAGGGGTTCACTTGTCAGCGAAAAATTTGAATCTATTTAAAGACAACTATGAAAAATGTTGGCTGGAAATCAAAAAAGATTTGGAAATCTGGTCAAGATTGAAACTTTCCTTGTTGGGTCGAATTGCAGCTATAAAAATGAATGTATTGCCGAAAATGTTATTTTTGTTTCAAACCCTACAGATTGTGGACAGAGTGGAATGTTTTGGAAAGTGGCAGAAGGATATATCTAAGTTTGTTTGGCAGGGCAAAAGCCCCGGATAAAGTTTAAAATACTAACTGATTTGAAAGAAAGAGGGGGGTTTGCCCTGCCGGACTTGAGAATATATTATGAAGCTGCGGCCTTCTGCTGGATGAAAGATTGGTTACTTCTTGAGAACACTGATGTTCTAGATCTGGAAGGGTTTGATAATGCTTTTGGCTGGCATGCATATTTGTGGTACGACAAGGTAAAGGTTCATAAAATGTTCAAAAATCATATTGTTAGAAAATCAATATTTATGGTCTGGACAAAATACAAGGACTTATTAGAGGGTAAGACTCCGAGGTGGCTTTCACCAGCAGAGGCCAAGGCCCGGAAAAACCTAATATGGAGGTTGGTTGGCTGAAATATGGGGAAATTATAGAAAAAGTAGGAGAAACTTGGAGGCTGCAGAGTTATGAAAAATTAAAGAATAAGGTGCAAAATTGGCTTCACTATGCTCAAATTCAAGAGGTTTTCAAGTTGGACAAAAGAATAGGTTTCCAGGTGGAAAAATCGAAACTAGAGACAGAATTGTTGGAACCAAAGACCAAGGTACTTTCGAGAATGTATATCTTGCTGCTTAAATGGAACACTCAGGATGAGACAGTCAAATCAGCCATGATAAAATGGGCTCAGGACATTGGGTACAACATTATGTTTGAAGACTGGGAAAGGTTATGGACCACTGGTATGAAATTCACGGCATGTAATGCCTTGAAAGAGAATATTATGAAAATGATATACAGGTGGTACATGACCCCAGTCAAGCTAGCTAAGATATATCATTTGTCTGATAATAAATGTTGGAAATGTAAGGAGGCTGAAGGGACATTCTTTCACCTCTGGTGGACTTGCCCAAAAGTGAAGGCCTTCTGGGAAATGATCTATAATGAGTTAAAAAAAGTGTTTAAGTACACTTTTCCCAAGAAACCAGAGGCCTTCCTACTGGGCATTGTCGGTCAGAAGGTGTTAAAGAAGGATAGAACCTTTTTTGCAACTACAGCAGCAAGAATTCTTATCGCAAAACACTGGAAGACTCAAGATTTACCCACACTGGAAGAGTGGCAGACGCAATTGATGGGCTACATGGAATTGGCTGAGATGACTGCCAGGATCCGAGATTTGGAGGAAGAAGCAATGGAGGAGGATTGGAAAAAATTTAAAGATTATTTACAAAAATTTTATAAGTTATATGAATGTTAAGAATTCGCATGATTAGGGAAATTCAGCTCCAGCAATAAGATTAAGGTATGGGAAACTAAGCTATTTTAATGAAAAGACTAACGTTTAAAAGAACATTATATATATTATTAGTGCAAATTGACAATAAGCATTTTAAACGTAAATCACAAGTATTTGAAAGAACAAAAGAATGCACGAAATAAGGTTATAATTTGCTGAAAAATTTTATTGTAAAGAACGCAAGGTGAGGGGGACGGGGAAGTCCGGTTGGTTATGGAAAAATGCTTTGAAAAGATGATTTTCTTCTTTTTCTTTCTTTTTTCTGTTATTTCTTTGTATATCTGACCATGTATTTCTATCTGGAAAAATGCAATAAAAAATATTATAAAAAAAAAAAAATGAAGCACTTCAGCACCTTGCCTTAATCTGAAAAGAGCCGGCCCTATCGTTGGGCACAGGGAGGTGGCCCCAGTGAGCAGCTGATTTGGGGTGTTGCAAAAGGGCAGGAAATGGCGAGTTAACTTGCTACTGTCACCAGGAAGGGGGACAAAATAACTTGGATCAGTCTTTGATTCCATGCATCTTTGACATCAGGGTGGGCTGGCCCTGATTCCAACTTACGCTTCAAAGAGGCTTTGCCCAGAGCACAGCAGGGAATATGGCAGAAAAAGAATTTATGATCCGATTCTGTGACTCAGTGCAAAAGACTGGTGAGCTGTTATGTGGCTGCTGCCCCAGCTAGCTGTGAACTTATGAAATGCATTTGGGGAATAATTAAACCGAGAAGGGGGGGGGGATTGTTTTCAGCTAACTCTTGAAAACACCACATCGCCCTCACTTTCCCCCAAAATAAAGCTATCACCTTATTATCAGCATCCTCCTCTATATTGCTCCTGACCTTTAAGAATGGAGCTGAAATCTTTAAGCGTGCCCATGAAAGAAACATGTGGGAAAGTACTTTAGCGAACGAACGGTTCGAAAACAAAACAAAACCCACCTTGCAACCATTAAGCAGAAGAAGGGATTTGCTAACCAGGCAGCTTTGAGGTCCAAGTCATTACAGCTCATTCAAAGGAGCTGAATACCTTCTCCAGTTACTTGCTGGAATTCATAAAACATCTGAAGGTGTTTTATGGGCCCTGTAAATGTGGAATGTTTGTGCGTGCTCACCAAGAGTGTAAGATCCTAAATTCTCTTACTATATATTTTTTTGGCATCAGCGTTTATTCTTGCATGATGAAAAGCAGAGATGTGTGCGTCTAACAAAGTAACGTTGCAAGTTGACAGATGTCTGCTCGGAAGGCCCCATCTGCACGATGCTTTTGAAGCAGTATCAGACCATGTTAACAGTCATGGCTTCCACTCAAAGAATGCTGGGAAGTGTTGCTTGTTAAGAGGCCTCAGAGTTGTTAGGAGAGCCCTATTTCCCTCCCAGAGCTACAATTTCTGAAGCGTTTTAACAATCAATCCTTAGGCCCAGGGAACTCTCACAACTGCAGTAGAAACAGACCCAGATTGCTGTGGGTTGTGTTGCATGCACCAGAGCAATCAGTGAGGGGGGTGGGTCCAAGCAGGAGGGAGACGCAGGCGTTGTGGGAGGGGACTACCACAAAACAGCAGAGAGTGACCTACCAGAATGGCCTTGCCTTCCAAACCCTCCAAGTGTCCCTGTTTTCCAGGGACAGTCCCAGTTTTAAAGACACCATCCCAGTTTCTGATTTGATCCCAGAATGCCCTGTTTTTTTCTTAGGATGTCCCTATTTTCATCAGAGAAATGTTGGAGGGTATGGAGTTATGCGACCCCAGAGCCAAGGAGACTAGTAACTTTACAACCTTTAGAAGACATCTGAAGGCAGCCCTGCATAGGGGGGCTTTTTGATCTTTAACGTTTCATTATGTTTTTATATATGTTGCAAGCTGCCCAGAGTGGCTGAGGAACCCAGTCAGATGGGTGGGGTATAAATAATAAAATTGCTGCTGCTGCTGTTGAATAGGACATCCCTCTTTTCATCATATAGGGACACGGGTGGCACTGTGGTCTAAATCACAGAGCCTAGGGCTTGCCGATCAGAAGGTCGGCAGTTCGAATCCTTGCGATGGGGTGAGCTCCCGTTGCTAGGTCCCTGCTCCTCCCAACCTAGCAGTTCGAAAGCACATCAAAGTGCAAGTAGATAAATAGGTACCGCTCTGGTGGGAAGGTAAACGGCATTTCTATGCACTGCTCTGGTTTGCCAGAAGCATCTTAGTCATGCTGGCCACATGACCCGGAAAGTGTACACTGACTCCCTTGGCCCATAAAGCGAGATGAGCGCCGCAACCCCAGAGTTGTCCGCGACTGGACCTAACGGTCTGGAGTCCCTTTATCTTTTACCTTTTCATCAGAGAAATGTTGGATGGCATGGTCTTCCTAGAGAAGGTAGGAGTTCCTACCTGAAGCTCCTTCTTTTCACTTGATGCCCTGCCTGCTGAAGCATCACCACCAAGGATGGAATCCATCCTATGGGATTCAATCCTGTGAGGTGCAGGATGTTGCTCCTTCATGTGGGTCTTCCCTATTGAGAAAGTGCTCATGACCAAGCAGCACCCTGCAGGATCGAACCCTCCAGCTCTCACATGGGAGTAGGGAAGGAGATGCAGTATCTCCACGTCCCTTTCTCCTGTATGTTGTATTAGGATTTAAACACACTTAAATAAACATGAGCTCCACCTCCAAATTGATCAGGGGCTGCATATAGGGAAGGCGACCCATAGCCCTCGTTGCTGAGCCTGCAAGGAAGCATGAAATATAGGAAGAGTGTTTTTGTGGATGGGGAATTGAAGGATCCCAGTTGATTGTCATCTGTTTGGAAGCTGCAGCTGGAGACTGAAGCGGGGCTCAGACAGAAGAGCTCCTCCAGCCTCTTGAAGATTTTTACGAGGGTTGCTTTTTGCCAATTAACTGCCACTTTGAGGCTTATCAGTCATCAAGGTCTGAGCGTTGTTCTGGTTTATTGCAGCTCAGCAAAAAGTCTTTGATAAGATTCTGCAAATGTGACAGCAAGGTCGTTTCAATAAAAAGGCTGGAAGGAGCCCATTTGTAAGCGCATAATAACATCCCGTACAATAGCTGCAGTGAAATGCACAAGGTTGTGTGTGTTTTTTCTACATTAAAAAAAAAATCACCTAAGCGTTTGGTAGAACTAATATATACAAAGCATGAACTTATAAGAGTTTTCTGTGGTGGTTTATGAATAGAGCTGTCATAGAATGACTATAAAAACACACACACACCAATTTTAAAAGACCTATTCAGTAGCAATAGAACATATTGGGTACAAAAGCTGGCGTTTTCATGGCTGCTCTATCAGCTGGGAGGTACAGAGGGTAGAAGGCTTACATTGAGGGTGGATTCAGATGTGGGGGTTATTGTGTTCGCTTTCCCGGTTTTAATACTGGCCCGGTTTTTAATGTTCATTCTGCAATGCATTACCTGTTGCATTATGGAACTCTGGCTGTTTGATTGATTAAATCGTAGGAAGGAACTGCATGGCTGTACATTGTAACCATCATCTGCCCTGGAAAGAAATGGGACATCTTCTCTTGCAAAAGAACAGCGTCCAAAATGGTCGTAGCGATTTTCCATGATTTTGGGCTGAATATTTGGGGGGGGGGCATGGCACTGAAAAACATGTGTTTTGGGGCACCATGCAAGATCACTGCCCCTCCAAAAAAAGCATTTTTTTCAGGGTATTGATCTTGTGTGGCACCCCAAGACACACATTTTGGGGCACCATGCCTAGAAAAAGTGGTTTTTGGGGGGGCACAATATCGCACAGGTGTGGACCCAGAAAATGGCATCCTGGATTTGGGCCATGTCGTGTTGGAAGGTATGGTATACCACCCTAAAGTTCATCCATTCCCACGAGTTTCTGAGTTAATGGGGTTGCCAATAGATTTGTTTTTTTCCTGAATACAATTAACATGGAACTGCACACAAAAATTCTGCAAGATTCCCTTGATTTCCAGAAGTGGTTTTGTATTGTGTGAAATAATAATAAAAAAAGGTCCATCTAGTTCAATATCTTGTTCTCACAGTGGCCAAACAAATGCCTGTGGAAAACCAGGGAGGAGAACATGAGCTCAAGAGGCCTCTCCCCTCCCATGGCTTCCAGCAACTGGAATTCAGAACATTGTTGCCTCCAACTGTGGAAGTAAACCATAGTCATCATGGCTGGTAGCCATTGATAGCCCTATTCTCCATGAATTTGTCCAATCCTCCTCTAAAGCCATCCAAGTTGGTGGCTGTGGTGTTCGTACGGAGCCCCCGGTCGTCTCATGGACTATTGACACGTACACCACTAATCTGCTGCCACCAACCAGGTCCCCCCGGTAAATCACTTAGTCTTAGTCAGGTTCTTAAGTTAATAAAGAAGAGTGTGCAGTGGTACCTCGGGTTACATACGCTTCAGGTTACAGACTCCACTAACCCAGAAATAGTACCTCGGGTTAAGAACTTTGCTTCAGGTTGAAGACAGAAATCGTGCTCCGGCGGCATGGCGGCAGCTGGAGGTCCCATAAGCTAAAGTGGTGCTTCAGGTTAAGAACAGTTTCAGGTTAAGAACGTACCTCCAGAATGAATTAAGTACTTAACCCGAGGTACCACTGTAGTTTATTGCAAACACAAATAAACTTTAACTGCATTCAAACGTTGTTACTCTTCTTGGTCTTACTTTATTCTGTCTCTAACTCTTCTACCTCCCCTCACACAAGAACCAACTGCACTAACTGTCTCTCTATTTCCAACTGCCTGCCAACTGCTTTCCCAACTGCCTTTCCCAACCAACCAACCAACCAACCAACCAACTAAAACCAACCAAACCTTGGGCTAAGCCGTTTTATGAACAGGTAGGCTCTGCCTCTGGCTTTTCTATTGGTCTACCTATTAACTCTTTCTCTCCCTCTGTACAGACATTTTCAAAAGAATGGGCAAACGTCACAGTGGCCATCACTGCCTCCCTTTTTTTCTGCCCTGAATCTTTCAACGTTCAGCTTCATTGGTTGCCCACAAGTTGCAGTGTTATGACAGAGGGAGAAAAACCTGTCTCTATCCACTTTCTCTATGCCACACATAAATTTATGCACTTACATCACCTTGCCTCTTATGACATGTTGTGGTGCAATGAAACAGTGAATGTCATATGTGCTGTTCCCCCATGAAAACAGCAGGAAATATTTGTATGTCTGTCCCAAATTTTGTCTCATGATTTTCTGGGCTAACAGAGTTGCAAACGGATTTTTTCCTGAAAGCAATTAACACAGAGATGAGTGCAAAACTTCCATCAGATTCTGCTAGATTTCCAGAAATAGTTTTTGTGCCTTGTGAAAGATCACCTAAGATTACCAGGTAAGGAGACACTGGGAAATGAAATAAAGTGCTGTCTGAATTCAGCCCAAGGCAGGGCTTCTCAAATATTTTGAAACTTAACCAATGTCCTGATAATCTTAAATTTGCAGAGGAAAATATCCTTTTGAATCATATATACAATGTATTGAATACAACAAAGGGACATTATGAATGGACTCTCTGCGCCTTTACTACAGGAAAAAGACTGGTATTGATGAACTGGAAAAAGCTCCCTTCCATGATTGGATTGAAAATATGTACAAACTCACTACATGTGAACAAGTTGCATACAAACATAGACTTGCAACAATATTTGGAATTCATTTTCTTTCTTTTTTTAATACCATATTAGGTTAAGGCCTGGTTAACTACAATAACAACTTTTTGTAATGTATACAAGTTGTGGTTGTTGTTCTGTTTTGTTTTCTACATGGGTGCTATTTCTTTTTCTTCTTTTTTCACTTTTTCTTACTCTGTGCACTTGTAATTATGTACTTTTTATCTTTTAATAAAGAATATAAAATAATAATAATAAAAAGAAACCACTACAGGAGTAGGCAAGTAGTGAAGGCAAGACACAGTGATATTGACCTAATAGAATTGGACAGCAGGGTCAAAGCAACTGCTCATATACATTTCTGAAGGCCTGGGCTACTCCCACCGTGATTGGCTGTCTAAACTTCCAAGCTGCGAATCATGACTTAGAGTTCAAGGGCCAATGGCAGAGGCCCAAATCCTGAAATGTTCTGTGATTGGATATCATATATCGAATCAGAACACAGGGGCTCAGAATCCTTAGTCCAGACTCAAGCTCAGACAAACAAAGACCACTGAATACATAGGAAGATGTTTTTTGAGATCCAAGTCCCCAGGTACTTCTAGTGTTGCCAGGAGAGGTATTCTTTTTTTACCCCTTCCTATTTGATCCTTTCACTCATAGCTGCCAGAAGAACCTTAGGCTCTGCAGTTTGTTAAGGGTGCTGAGAATTGTTAGGAGACCCCTATCCCTCTCACAGAGTTACAGCCACCACAGTGGTTTAACAGTCTATCCCAGGGAACTCTGGGAATTGTAGTTCTCAGAGAGGAATAACAACTCTCAGCACCCTTAACAAATTACAGTCCCCACGATTCTTTTGGGTAAGCCATGACAGTTTAAAGTGGTTTCATAATCCTTTAAGTCTATGGTGTGGACATGGCCTGACATAATATAAGCAAACTTCCATGTCCTCCCTTTCACGTCAAGCAAACAAATTGTATATTTCCTGCTCCAATTTCATTTGAGGACATTTTTATCTTCCTCCTTCCTCACAAGCAAGCAACCCTGAGCCATCTCCAGCAGCAGAAAAAAATCAAAATTTGCAGGGTTTCTTTTTCTCACACAGAAGTAGTTCAACTTAAATTCTTTTTTTTTCTTTTTTTTTTGGAAGAGCATCATTTTTGTGCTATAGAAGATGGAGTGACAGACACAGAGAGAACGGTAGGCCCCTCTCCCCAATACAAAGCCATACTTCCAGCTCTGCTCAGTTTGGCAGCAGGCTAGAAAGCCTTAATGAGAAACTTTGATTCCTGAAAGCATAATAGGCATGGGGACTCAGAGCACACAGAGAAAAGATTGTATTTCTCAGCTAACGAGAGACCGGGGTCATGAGTTAAGGTGTTTTTGGTTTGAGTTTGGGTTTCTTTCTCTTTTTTTAGAATTGAAGCTTGGAAGAGACCATCGTTTCTTTCTTCTTCTTTTTTAAAAAAAGAAAAAGTCCTCAAAAACATACAATGAAGAATCTCTTCTTAGCACACTGCTTGGATTGACTCAATGATGAAGTTTCAAGAAGGTATATATATCTGTCAACTACATGGTAATGTAGATCCTTTAGCAACACTGCTTAAAATTATTCTTGGGGTGCTACGTGAAGGCAGAACCTGTTGCTAGGGGAAGGTCACACTCCACAGGGTGTCTTCCTAGCTTAGATCACATCTGTCCCTTATTTTTAAAGCAGTCATGGGTCTCCTTTAATAACTCCAGCATACTGTCCAACTTTTTCATTTCAAGAACCAGGACATTCTTGGGCAAGCGCTTTTTGCAGGGTGAGAGGGCAGTGAGTGTGTGTGTGTGTGTGTGTGAGAGAGAGAGAGAGAGAGAGAGAGAGAGAGATTGTGGCACCCAGAATGACTGCCATGATCTTGCAAGAAAAGAAAAAAACCAAGATGTCCCGTTTTTCTGGGGCACTTGGCAAAAATGCTCTGGGAGCAGTTTGTTACAGGAGCTGAGAGTTGTTGGAAGACTCCTCCTCCCTCGCAGGGCTACAATTCCCAGAGTTCCCAGAAACTGATTGTTAAACCGCTCTTGAGAATGGTAGCTCCGTGAGGGGAACAGACGGTCTTCCTAATAAACTGTCCTTTTTCAGGAGTCTTCGAGGGAAGCCACAGCTATTTGAAGTAGCATAATATCGCTTTAAATGTGTAGTGCATGGAGCCATTTAAATGAATCAACACAATTAACACAGGTGCAGTGATTTCAGCGGGACTGTCTAGATTAGAACCTCGTTGGATACAGCCCCTGGTAGTTCAAAGCCAATCTAAATGGGATGTTAACTGATTGAAGGCAAATAACATGCACACTTTTGTGTGTGGTGGAAATAGTGGTAAAAGAGACCAGCCTTGGAACCCATGCAGGTGATGGGAGCAGGGCTGGGTTTAGGTTTGATGAGCCCCTAAGCTACTGAAGGTAATGGGGCCCTTTATATGTGCAGCTGTCCTTTGTCAACAACCAATTGTCACTGTTTTTTGTGTTGAATATATGCTATATGGTAATTTATGGACCTAATAGTTATCTAAAGCCATTTGCACATTTTCCATGCAGAATGTAGACACCCTATATATAGAAATGAGCAAACCAATGATATTTTAGGGAGCAGGCTAGCAGGCAGGGCCCATTACTTACATCTTAGAAGCCTACACAACACAAAACACTGTTGCTGTATGTAGGTTTTATTTTATTTGTTTTTTATCTTACATTTTGGAAATGGACATCCAGGTTTTTTTCCCTTTAAATTTTTTGGGGGCTCCCAAGAGAGTGGGGCCCTAATTTATAGCTTGTTTAGCTTATACCTTGGCCACCTCATGAGAAGACAAGACTCCCTGGAAAAGACCCTGATCTTGGGAAAGATGGAGGGCACAAGGAGAAGGGGAGGACAGATTATGAGATGGTTGGACAGTGTTCTCGAAGCTACCAGCATGAGTTTGACCAAGCTGCGGGAGGCAGTGGAAGACAGGAGTGCCTGGTGTGCTCTGGTCCATGGGGTCATGAAGAGCCGGTCATGACTAAATGACTAAACAACAACAAAGCTTATACATAAATCCAGCACTGAATGGGAGACAGGAGTGCTCCCTTTTCTCCTGACACAGTCCTGACAATCTCCTTTCAGAGACTGCCCTTTGCATTCCAAAGGAAATTCCCAGTGCTGCCGGCAGAGATTGTCCTAACTGGAGGCTAATGTTCCTAATTGCCATCTGGAAGTGGGGAATTTTTGTTGGTACCGTAGCAGGGAGAGTAAGAGCTAAAGTCTCCCCCCCCCCCCAATGTGAGAGTTGCGAGCTTGATCAAGTAAAGGTAAAGGTACCCCTGCCCGTACGGGCCAGTCGTGACCGACTCTAGGGTTGTGCGCTCATCTCACTTAAGAGGCCGGGAGCCGGCACTGTCTGGAGACACTTCCAGGTCACGTGGCCAGTGTGACGAAGCTGCACTGGTGAGCCAGCACCAGTGCCGCACACGGAAACACCGTTTACCTTCCCGCTATAAAGCGGTACCTATTTATCTACTTGCACTTAGGGGTGCTTTCAAACTGCTAGGTGGGCAGGATCTGGGACCGAACAACGGGAGCTCAGCCCGCCGCGGGGATTCGAACCGCCGACCTTACGATCAGCAAGTCCTAGGCACTGAGGTTTTACCCACAGCGCCACCCGCGTCCCATGATCAAGTATGCTATGGTAAATAGCAACCTCGTGCAAATGAACAATGAAAAATAAATAAATCAAGAATCATACAGCTGGAGTCATCTAGCCCAAATTGCTTCAATGCAGGAATCCTGCCCACAGATGTCTCTGGGTGGGTTCAAACCACCAACCTTCTGATTTACAGCCAGATGTGCTGACCCATTGCACCACGAAGGATAAGGCTTTAATGGCTACTAGTCGTGATGGCTATATTTCCTCCAGTATCAGAGGTAGTAAGCTTCTGAACACCAGTGCCTTCATGTCTTGAGTGGCACAGGGTTGATGCACCCAGGTCCTGCTTGCAGACTTCCAGCTGTGAGAACAGGGGGCTGGTCTAAATGGCCAGCACACACACACACACACACACACACACACACCCAAAGCAGGCATCATAACAAAGCTACTACTTCTGTGAATTTGTGGCTTTGAGTTCTTTTTCTCCATTAAAAAAATAAAACAGACTTTAGGGGGAGTCATTCTTATTTCCATTTGCTTTAAGAAAAGTGGCTGCTTGGTGCCATTTACAATAAGTGGACGTTAATTAATGCTAAATTACAATGGAATTTCTGTTGAATTGGATATGACATCTACATTAATAGCCAGCCAGTTCATTCTGATTAATGTTATCACAGCCGTTAAGTGCTGGGATTTATAATCATTTGCCAAAGCTGCTAACTGAAAGCTCTTTAGTCAGTTTTTCCTTGAACAGAAACACGCATAAAATGTAATGAAAGTCTACCATTAATTTAAATAAGCATTTTGTTACATATAAATTGTGTGCATGAACACACACACACACACACAAACCCAGAGAGTTTTCTGTTAAAAAAAAGTCTAGGCTGACGTATTCCTGGAATGAAAATGGTGAATGGAAAGCTAAATAGGGTTGCATATTGGAATAGAGGTCGTTTGAAATATTAATGTTAAAAAGAAAGAAAGAAAACATTAGAAGTAATACAAGGCATTTTTTCTACGCAGTTTTCACAAATGTGTGCATTTTCACACCCACTTTACCCTGGCATGAAAATTTTTGTACGCATTACTTGACTGGAGGACTGCATTGACAAAATTTCAGAGTAGTGCGGATTTTGAAGAATGGCCGCATTTCTGTTCCTTTTGAGAAGTATGAAATAGGTAGTATCAATGTGAACTTAACTGAGTTTCTTTCCTAGCCCTAGACGCAAATGAAAGTTGAGGGCAATTTGTGTATGCTCTGTACAATATTTGGAATTGCAGGAAGGGAGACAGATACTATAGGGAACTCTTAATGTACTCCTATCCAAATCAGAAACAGGACTGGCTGATTTAGAGATCCAAACCGAGGACAGAGATTCAGATTTGCCCGTTGATGTGACCTGGCATTGACACCTCCTATTCCATCTGCCCTTCCCTTGGATTCTCTCTTCTATATGTTCCCATTATTCTGTTTTCTGGGACCTAGCTTCTCAGAAATCCCCTTTTGAAAAGGCCTCAAATTCTAGCTGGCAAGGTTAAGTGGTACCTACCGTGATGCTGCCCCAAATCCCCAGCTGATGATCGAACTGCTACATATGTCACGGATACACGATACCCTCCCAGCACCTGAAACTGGTTTGCAGCTACGAAACAGGGTCACAACTATGCATTAACCACAGAGCTATCCAGCTTCCCTGCCTGCAGGAGAACTGACAGAATGGATAAGTCGTGGGATAAAATCACTTATCAGTGAATCTAATGCAACTAGATTCTAAAAATGATACCTTAGAAAAGGAACACCATCTCTATGTGGCCCAATTGCTCCAACTACTGTAATAAGCCAACCCAATTAGGCTGCTGCTGTTATGGAAGAGCAACTTCCTTGAATGTGGTCCATGAGGCCTAATTCACAAAGCCTCCTTGTTTTACGCGTATCCTCATCAGCATCAAAAGATACAGGCCACAGCAGACATTGAGGTCTGGAAACCATGCACCTGGAACCATATAAACTAAGAAAAGATGTCATCAAAATCCATACCCTCCAAGTGCCTCTATTTTCCAGCGACGTCCCTGATTTAGAGAAGCCGTCCCGGTTTCTGATTTGATCCCAAAATGTCCCGCTTTTCTTACGTTGTCCCTATTTTCATTTGAGAAATGTTGGAAGGTTTGGAGTTATCTGATCTCCTGAGCCGCCTGAAGGCAATCCTGTATAGGGAAGTTTTTTCAATGGGTAATGTTTTATTATGTGTTTTATATATGTTGGAAGCTGCCCAGAGTGGCTGGGGCAACCCAGCAAGATGTGTGGGGTATAAATGGCAAAATTATCGTTATGGAATGGGACGTCCCTCTTTTCATTGGAGAAAGGTTGAAGGGTATGTAAATCTAGGGATGCAGCAAACCTTCTGTGATCTCCAGTTTCTAGAAATGGAATTGCAGTTGTAAATTGCAAGTATGGTGAAAGGTTTTTGGACAGGTAGCATGGCTCCAAAATAATGGAGAAAGATTGATGACTGGGCAGCCATGGCAGAGATACCATAGCTACATCCTGTCAGGGACTGGCAGGAGTTGGAGGATGAAGGGGTTGAGGAGAGACGGGATGAGGCAGAGAGTGCAGCTGGAGATCTGCTGGAATGGGAGGGTGAGGAGAATGACTCAGGGGAAAGGACCAGTGACTTGTGGGGTTCAGTACCACCAATGGAAGGAAACCTTCCTCTGTCTGCAATTCCTTCACTGACACCAGCTGTATCTGAGAGGTTGCTCTCAGCAGAGACAGAAGTAGGGGATCAGGAGCTGGGTGCAGGTCACCAGGTTATTGTATTTTAGTGTTCTGTTGGAAGCCACCCAGAGTGGCTGGGGAAACCCAGCCAGATGGGCGGGGAATGAATGAATGAATGAATATAGCAAGAGCTAGGGGAAAGGGTGCAGGTTCAGGAGTTGAGGGAAGAGCCTCTATGGCTGCGGCAAGTTGAATTTTTCAACTTTCAACTTCCAAAAACGAGGGGCACTAAAAAACACATTGTAGCATGACCTGGGAATTCAAAAGGTATTTTGGTTAGAAATTATATAAAATTTAGTTTTGCTTGGTAAGTAAAATGTGTGTAAAATTGCTCAGAAATCATTAAAAATGATTGCCAAGTACTTGCAGTTATATATATTATCATTACTTAGCATTACCTGACATTTTCAGAAGGTAAAATTAAAATTCATTGGTTTTTTAAAAGCAATTCATGTGCTTCTTCATCAAACATAGACCTACCAAGCTAAATGTTGCCCAATCACAAAACTTAATAGCAGGTTTGAATTCCTCACACCCCAAAACATATTTTTAAGACCTTTCACCGAAGAAATGTGGAAGAATTAAGTCCCCCCCCTAAAATGATGCACCCTACTCCAGGGGTCCCTGGATTCTTGGAACCTGTAGAGCTCTTGGATTAGACTCTGCCTGAGACCTTGCCTCCTAGAGCCCCCTGAACTCTCCACAAACTATCTCCATGCTCGATGAGGAATTTGAGGAGGTACAGTTACAGCAGCCTCCTTTGAGGAGTCAACATCTACTTTAATGTGTCAGCAAAGTGGTTGGTTAGAGGGAATTCTTTGGTGCTCCAACTTTCCCTGCATGGCACAGATTATCATCAGTGATAATCTTAGCAGTGATTTGCTTAGACAGCTAATTGGAGATGTGATTTGCCATTTATCACTTGTGCCGATTAATTCATCAATAAAGAACAATAAAAATCCTGCCATATGTCTTTCTATGTCTTGGTGCTAGCTGAGACATCCTACATTGAAGATCATCCACTGATCAGAGAGCTGGACCATGTGGCCTCCAATGTCTTCTCCAATTTTTCCAACCATCAGCTGCTTCTGATGTCTTGCAACTTTCTGCCCAGGTTTTCCCTGAGCCATAAGATTAGATTCTGCTTTTATTTGTTTGAATTCTTGTTTTCATGTGATTCCACACTACAGTTCTAGGGGTTTTATGCTGTATTTTTGTTTTCATAATTTAATCGTGTTTATGTTGCATACTGCTTAGAGACTTTCAAAATATTGAGTTGTTTATGAATGCTGTTGAACAAGAGCAAAGAATCTCAATAACCCGAACATTTGGGCCAGGTTCTTAAGACAATCTCTGCAGTCTCCCCAAACCCTCAATTCTTTCCCATGCTAAGAAAAACAAAGTCAAATTTCTGATAATCTTCAACCTTTTCTTCCTTCTGAATTGTTCTAAGTGCAAATAACTGTGCTTAATCACAGAGTCAAATATTTCTGATCAGTAGTGAGGGAGAGAAAGCTTACTATGTTCCTCTGGTGACAATCCAGATAGTCACTGAAACTGTAGGAATCCTTATTTAACCAGGGCTAAGGATGTCCTTTTCAGCCTGAGCTTATAGAGGCAGCTGGAGGGTGGGATGGAAGCCATGGAATGACTTAAGCATGGTGAATAAATATGCCTGGGGACAGTGGCATAGCAGGAGTTGCCAGTGCCCAGGGCCACGTGGAGGGGTGGGGTGGGTAGGGAAGGGAAATGGACAGAATACATATGCACATTTAACTGCCTAACAGTGCCCGCGTCACCCAGGAGATCACAGCTGCATAGATAAGAACAGAAAAGTCATTCCATTGTCTGTAGAGGTCACTTCCTGGTTCGCACTCGTGAAGCCAATTTCAATGGAGCCCAGTGACAGAAGTGGCTGGGTGCTCTCTGCACTATGCCACTGCCTGGGAGAAATGTGTGCACATTCAGTAGAATATTTGCAGGGGGGGCTGTCATATATAGGACCCCTTAAGACTTTTAAGGATTAGTCACTCCAACTGTATAAGAAGGACAGGGAGGATGTCTTGAGGATAGCGTTGAAGAGAAGTAAAACAAGTTAGAAAACCAAAAGGGATCAGATTTCTGTACTGAAACAGAATCATTACTGGTAGTTGAAACAGGCCCCAAAATTAATTCAGTCCTGGAGATGTACTTTCACTGCCCATGCCCCAAAGGTCCAATATGACGTACCTCGGAAGTCGAATGGAATCCGTTCTGGAAATCCATTCGACTTCCGAAAAATTCGGAAACCAAGGCGCACCTTCCTGATTGCGCAGGCACACCGTACACAATGGCAGAAGTCATGCCGGACATTCGGCTCCCCCCAAAAAAGTTCAAAAACCAGAACACTCACTTCTGGTTTTTGATCATTTGGGAGCTGGAACGTCCAACTCCCAAGGTGTTCTGGAGCCGAGGTAACTCTGTTGTCGTACATTTCGGTTCTCAAAAGTCGAAAACCCGGAAGTAACTGCTTCTGTTTTCAAACATTTTTTGGAACCCAAACATGGATTACATTCGAGAACTGAGGTACCACTGTACTGAGATGGAGAATGAAATGAAGGAGGTATCTAAAGCAGTATGTGTCTAGTGATTTGTGACTTCATTTACCATCAAGCGGACTGGATACATGTATGTTCCAGTCAATCTAAATGGAGGAAGTGTAAAACTAGGCAGTAGCAGTGCCTAGGATAACAATTCAGGATAACAATTCAGAGAGACCAGAGAACTGCATGCTGAAACAGAAGCAGAGGTTGGTGGCCATCTGTCAGTGATTATTTAGCAGGGGTTCCTGCATTGCAGGGGGTTGGACTAGGTGACCCTTCCAGTACCTTCGAACTCTACCATCCCATGATTGCCTGCGGAGGTGAATGGAGTGTGCATTCATTGCTTGCCGTGATCAGCACCTTAAAAGAGAGACTTGAAAGCCGACAGGTGGAGAGATAGTCTGCCCATGCAATACTGGATGCCCCTTCTACCACATGCTACTCTCATAGCAAGGACTTGCTTCGATTTGCCTTGCCTTGTATTCAGTCTCTGCCCAATAACTTGCCTTTCCTCACTTGGGAAGAGATCAGTGCTTACATCCGAATGGATACGAGACACTCCTGCCACGGCCTGCCTTCCATAACAGTTTAGCCTAACATCAGAGGAGGGCCTTGCCACCGAAGGGGTAAAAATGACAAGGAGAGGGGGGAAAGGAGCAGAGCCTGTTTTTCCCGCTGACATTGAGTCTCCTTGGTGTGGGCAGTTAGGCCCTCGGAGGTATCCGTCAGCATGCCTGCCTGAAGTGCCAGCAGGAGTCAGGGAACTTGCTGGAGAAGCTAGTAAAATTTTAATGCACTCTGTAGTGCGGTCATGTCACACTCACTCATGGCAAATAATCCCCGATGCCTGCAGAGGTAAAATGGAGCTGTAATGTGCTTTCCTCCTAACCCGAGCTGACAGCAATGATGTACGACTACCATTAGCGGAAAATATCACTTCAACTAACCCATGATCCAGCGCCGCTAAGGGTCATATTATCCATGAGGAACAAATTACATTCCCAAAGTAAATACAAATTTTCGACACAAAATGGGCACCAAAAAAAGAAAGAAAGAAAGAAAGAAAGAAAGGGAGAGAAAAGGGGGGAGGGAGGGAACAGTGTGTGCCTGCATTGTGGGGAGGGAGGGGAGAGTGGGGCTCGTGTTACCGATACCTATGACAATGAGTTGCTAAGGGGAAAATATGTCAGGAAACAGAATGTACCACCACCTCTGGAGAGAATGTGATGCGTATAAAAGCTACTGAGCAGGCGTTCAAGCCCGTGAGCCCCACATATCCCCTCTGTCTCTTTACCCCACCTGGTATCAAGAGCAGAACCTTCTTAACACTGCTATGCTGGCCTTGAATTTTATCCCCATCCTTGCACCAGTAGTCCTCTCCATACAGTTCTCCCAAATAAAGGTAAGAAACACCAGACAAGAGGCTGGACCACAGGGAGCCCTGGTGATGACTACTCGGGAGATGAGGGACCAACAGCAGAAAGTAGCCACAACACTTTGGCAGAGCTGATGTTTTGCACGCAGGAGGTCCCAGGCTCCATCCCCAACATCCCCAGGTAGGGCTACGACAGACCCCCTCACCATAATCCTGGAGAGAGGCACTGCTAGTCAGTGTAGGCAAGGCTGAGCTAGATGAATCAATATAGTGTACGGTAACTTCCTGTGTGCCCCCCTCCCACCTGTCCTCACATTATTTCTCAACATGGTTGGACATTGCATCTTGTGCAATGGCATGGCAATAGCTCCGTGCAGATAGCAAGTGGTACTCATGCCTGGGTGAGGAGTGAGAGGCAGTGAGCAACTGGTGGCAAAGAAGCCAGCCACAATGGCCAGGCTGGGCAGCATCTCTGATGGCAACACAGGTGGTCAGGATAGAGGTCAGGGGCCCAGGTGTACTGTTGGAAGGCTTGGCAATGCACCTTTCTGATCCCCTGGTCCCTCAGCCACAGTCTGCTCAGGCCAGCCTCTGGTACCTGCCCACGTCCTGTTTTGAAGGACCCCCCTATTGTTATTGCTAACAACTCCTGTCATTTTCTGATGCTACCCCAAACCCCCCACCCCGAAGAAGGAAGATCTGAGAGATCGCCGCCCGTCTCAATGAAAGGAAACTCCGACTTGTCAGTTAAACAAAGGAATAACACACAGCCTCTCTTTATGGCGTGTACTTTACCTGTCATCCAACAGACCATTATCATGTCACGCCAGAGTGCTCTTTTCTCCAGGTCACTTTGTTTAAAATGACATGGATAATGCACATGTCAGCGAGCTGACAGTCTCGACCGTCCTTCAGAGATTCTTTAAAAAAAGAAAGAAAGACAAATGCCTGTTCTTATCTGCAGGCCTTGCCTCGGTCTATCGTCTAAGTCAGGGAGAACATGATTTCTCCAGGGAGCACTTTTTTCATTTCCGATTTAAAGAAATCAAATAAGCGCCATTCGTCTTCATCTGAATATGCTTGACCCATTCAAATGATGATGTGTCACTTCGCTCTCTCTCTCAAAGGCAACGTACGCTGAATTCACAATGAATATACCAAGTCCTCATATCCCTGCAACGGGCAACCACAACAGACTAGATCTGCCTATATACAACACTTCTGCACCCACAATCTCATTGGATAAGGGAGCTTGTTTTTTAAAAGATGTAGAACGACTTTGCTACCATTGAGTCAAAACCAGTATGCAGAACAAAATGAAATTATTTCCCCCCCACAAACATCTCATTGTCTTACCGTGAAAAATGTGTCAGCAATGTGGCTGTGTTCTAGATTGGGGAGGGTGCATTCGGAAAAATTAAGCCCCAATCCTGTTCAGAAACAACACGCATTTTCTTATGGTCTGAGCCAAAACCCCTCTGAATTCTCTCTCGGCTTTAGAAATTATTTTTATTCATCGGATTTGTTAGTCGCCGTTTACCATTGAAACAAACCAACATTTTCATACAAACACCGGCAATTCATAAACACGCCCTTTAAAAAAGGGGGAAAGCAGCAGAAAGCTTTGGCAACACACTAGCAACAGAACAAAATCAGTTCAGTCCAACGAAAGCCTAGGAGAAAAGGTAAATCTCAACAAATAATGAAATGACAACCAAAAATAGAAATCAATGAAGGTGCAAGGTGGGACTCACTGGAGAGAGCATTCCACAGACCCACACCTGAAAAAGTTCTTGTCATCAGGGACAGCAATCTCAAATGAACCAGGGGGCAAAAGTCAAACCGAAAGTCAGTCTGAAAGAGCAAGTCAGTCTAAAGACCAAGCTCGGGTGCTGAGACAAGGTCATAGCTTAGAACTAGTAAGCCTTGTACCTTTGTGTTCTGATATAATTCCTGATCTATGTCAGTGGCAGACCTTGAGGTCTCAAATTTTAGCTGTGCCCTGTGTGACACTAAAATTCAGCACACCTCTACCTCTCGCCTTCCGTTCTACATCATAGTTGTGCTGCCCCCTGCAACACTCCCCAGGCTCCATGCCCAGTGCGACCCAGTGCATGTGAAGACAGGCTCCAGCAGTCTGAGTGGTTGAGACCAATAATGGGCCCAACGGTCAAGAAGGTGGTTTCAGCATGTGCTGTAGAGGGAAGTGAGGGGCAGATGGGGCTCATCAACCTGGGAAGGGAGCCCATCTAGGAGAAGGAAAACTCTGATCCTAAACTTCCGCTGCCCTGCAGGATATCAACCCTACACAAATCCATAGTGGAGTCCCTAAGACGGTTGGATGATGCCTTGAATGCCTTCTTCAAGCAAGACCTGCAACCAAGCTGGTATCAAACATATTGCTCTGCTTTCCTTTGGACCACACCAATGAGACCAAGAGTGGGATTATTTCGTCTGGGCAGTCCAGGACCTTCATACACATTACCCAGGCTTGCACCCTGAAGGAGGTCACTTTGGTGCTAACACGGCAACTTGACTTCACCCCCAGGCACACAATCCATTGTTTCTTGAGACAAGATAGATGCCAAAAATACTGTATTTTTAATCCCTGCAAGGTCCTTAGAGACCTCGATGGTGAAAAGTGGGAGATTTACATAATACTTTGTATTTTTCTCCACTATCTTCCCTCCCCAAATCCAATTGTCTTAAATTATTGCAGCTAGGATAATAGTCTACATGCAAGATCAGATCACCATGGTGGTTATAATAATGCTGCAATCTGGAAGGTCCTTAAAACAGACACAAAAACAAACAGTTTGGAGCAGTTATTGAACAAAAGCCATTGTGGTATAATTTGATCATGAGTAACTTAAAAGTTCAACGAACCAACAGCAGAATCCTGATGAGTAAAAAGTGGAATAACAAGAATTTATTGGTAAGAACTGTGGATACAAACCATAGATAACCTACCAAAAATGCATCACTTTCCATCCCAAGCTGATCAGATACAGTTGCTTTCATTGAAGAAATCATTGTACCAACAAATATTGCCATGGAAGTTATCATATGTGTGTCTTGTTAACTGACATTTCAATAATGCAACAAGTTTGAGAGAACATCTTCCATTCTTTACGACCGTTTACACCACCCCAAAACCAATAGGACTGGTAGAGGAGGTTGTTGTTGTACTCATATTTCACCTACCTAAATAGTTCATAGGTAGTCATTGATCAGCCCCTGATTACCAATGGTTTCACAAATGACATCTGATTATGAAATGTCCTCACACAGTGTATCATTCCTATTGCATGCAATCAATATATCTCAAGATGCAATATATTCCCATGTATTTTTAAAATTAAATATGCTAGTAGGAAGACTTCTTGTCCTTTTGTCCAGACATCAACATTCAATAACTAGCTACAAAATGTTGTCGAAAGGACAGATGTCAATCTTTCAAACAACAGTAATAAAAATTAGTACAGTTGGAACTGTGGAGCACATTCAGTAGTTGACTATAGCTATTATTTTAGCTGTTATTTTAGGATTAGGTAAAACAAAAAATATATGTCAGGATGGCATGAGTGTAAAGTGAAATTAAATTCATCTACTAGGAAATTATCTTAATTTCTCTTATGATATGATCATTTAAAGACAGACGGACAGACAGACATCTTCCGAATCATTGTAGAGATTAAAAGTTACAGCTTTTGCAAGAACAGCTATTATACTTGGATCTGAACTTGAATGATCTCCCCCCCCCCAAAAAAAACACACACACAACACAACAAACCCACACATAATATTTTGCCATTAGTCCATAACTGCATGCACTTAGTGCCTTGAATGAACTGGTTTGGTTCAACAAAGTTAACTGAATTAGTTCAAAAATTCCTGAATTACCCCTGAAAGTAGTTCCTGTCATGTAAACTAAAATAAGTTCATTTTGGGGGCAGAATCTTGAATAATTTCTAGTTCACCTTGAAGTTCACTCTCTTACATGTGCCTTTTCCTCTTCAGACACTTTGGGAATTAAATTCAGCAATTTATTGTCCACTTGTGTATGTGTGTGTGTGTGTGTGTGTGTGTGTGTGTGTGTGTGTTGCTGTTTTCTGAGTCTTCTTAAGTATATTTTATACTTCAGAACAGCAACAGGAATTTCAAATGCTGCAAGAATTTTCTGAGGATCATTTTGATGAACTTGGATTGAACTGTGAAGAACTAGTTTATTTTGTAAAGGGATGAACATGACCTGGAATTAGTTCCCTTTTGGAGAGGCTGAACTTAAAGCAGAACTAGTTCCCTTTTAAAATGAACTTGTCAGGCTCTGTTATCATCACCTCCTAAGATGCACACAGGGATTTTTCTCAAATAATGGTTGAGAAATCTGTACAGACTCAGCAAAGAAGAAAAGATGTCTGACTCCAAAATTGTCAGAGGCCCTTATAGGAAGAAGATTAAGGGTCCAGTAGGGTATGGCAGATGAGTGAATAATCTGCCTCTGTGCCTTGACCAACCACAGGACATGATCCTTGCGTGGAACATTTTTAAAAAGGCATGATGGAATCGAGCACATCAAATATAGGCTGCATTCAGACAATAATAATAATGTGGGGACAAGGGATTGATTGCATTTGTTTTCCTGCTTTTAATGTCAATGCTTCTGCCCTGGCTTTCTCAACACTATGCCACCACAGTGGGAAAGAACTGTATGCCAGGATACTGCCCCAATTTTTTGCCCTCTGAGTCATGGTGGTGTGATCCATGGGAGCCATAGGGAAAGTACAGAGCAAAACTCCAAGGACTGTCTGGGTTTTCTGGGTTCCAAATATTGTGTTTTCTGGAAATAATCAACATGGAAAATGAGTAAGGAAACACTGGGAAGGCAGGATGAAGGGACATCTGAATGCAGCCATAATGTGTAGACCACATCAAAATGTGCTTCCTCATTAGCTAGAGAGAAGATGGAAACAGATCCTGAAACACATCAGAAACAACACATCAGGAGTATGCATTGGAAGTCTGTCTTTACCTTTTCTTCTTGATCACTATCGCTGTCACACTGTAATAGAAAGGAAAAGGAAAACATTAGGGTTGTGGGCTTTTTTATAAAAAGAAGAAGAAGAATGCACAAAGAATTGTATGTTAATTCCAAGGTCTAGAGAGTTCCGAAAATACATATGAAGCTTTTCCCCAGGGCTGAAAAAAGTATCTGGACCCACGCACTGTACAGACCATGAAAAGTGGGCTAGAAAATAACAACAATTCTAGGAAGTGGCCGCCATATTGCAGCAAGTATTAGACTCCAGCCATGTGGGTTCTTCAGGAAAGCAGGCTATAATAGCAGAGCATCTCCTTTGCATGTAAAAAGTATTTACATGGTGTTTTACCTCTTTGTTCCCAGCCTCCTAATGCAACATATGATTCCAATCTTTGCAAAAATATAACATATGTTGACTAGAACAACTTTAACACATTCATGGGAAAGGAAGAAGAATGGTTCAAAGGAACTTTTCATGTAATATATATTAACAAATGCTCATCAGGGCTGCATCTACAGCCCACTGTGACTTCTGCCCACCATGCAGTGATATTCCCCCAATGGCTCAGCTCTCTCACTCTGTTTCCTAAAGCAAGCCTAGTCCTTGTACTTGTGGAGCTATAAAGAGAAATGTGGCGATTGCATGCTCCCCAACTGCTTGCGAATAGTAATTTGCTCCAGCTAAATGATAACTTGCTCTGTCCACTGCATCTGCAACAACAACCACTGCAAAGGCCAACACAGTCACACACACATTAAAGGGTGGCTAACTACGACCATCCAAACTTATTGGGACTTCAGCTCACATCTTCCCTGATTATTGACCATGCTGGCCGGGGCTGATAGCAGCTGGAATCCAACTGCATCTGGAGAGTGACAGTTCCCCCAGCCCTGTTTTGAAAGTGAAGGCTTCATTACCTGGGATAGTGCAATTACATGACATATAAGTCTAATTATTTGGTGGCTTTCTGGTTGATTCACTGTTCTCTTAGGCTCTCTGCACCACACAATTCCTGGTTACTGGCCTGATACTGCTAGACCAATGTGCAGTGTGATCCTCACATGTCCCACTGTGCTGAATGGGGCTTACTCCACATGAAATGTGTTTAGAATTACAACCAGAATCATGGATGGATACATTAGTATTTATGTTAAGGTGAAAGGTAACACATAAGCTTGGGCCCAATGCAAAACTCAGCAGTCATAGGGACAAAGGAAGCTGTCTTATACCACACTGAACTCTTAATCCATCCAGACAAATATTGTTTACATCAGGGATAGGGAACCTGTAGCCACTGAGATGTTGTTGGATTCCATCTTCTACCAGCACTGACCACTGGCCATGCTGACTGTGGCTGGTGGGGGCTGGTGTTCAACAACATGGAGGGAGCACACATTCCCCACCCTTAGTCTACACTGACTGCGGTTCAGACTTCCCCAGCCCTACCTGCAGATGCCAGGGATTGAACCAGGAAACATCTGCTTGCACAGCACGTATTTTGCTACTGAGCTAGGGTCCGTCAAAGAGCTATACCAGTCACATCATGTTGGTGTATCATTTCATTCCCATTTACATGTTTGTGCATTGAGCGTAGTAGGCTTACTTGGGGAAAGAGAGCATCTCTCGCTCTCTCTTCTGCCACCTGCCCATCCCACAACTCATTACATCTCACTGTGAAACTAATCAACACCATTTGAATTTTCCAGGACAATGTTTTCCTGCACTGCGGTGATGCTGCAGAGAGTGCGCTAGCAGCAATGCAATCCCCGGGAACCATCATTTCCATTGCCAATGTATTAAACTTCCCTGCCTCTTCTGACAGTCCAGTTCTAATTTCAAGGTCCACTTAATTCCTCCATCAAATCATTACCGCTATACCCAGCAGCACCTTGTCTCTAGAGCTAAGCATATGGTGAAAGACCGAGACCGACTGATATCCATTATGGAAGCAGTACAGGTGCCAAGCCGATTAAAAAAAAAAAAAAGGAGGAGAGCAAAAGAGGAGAGAATATCCAGCCTCTCGTCTTGCCTGTTGACTGACAGCTTCATGGCTTTGCCAAGCCATAGGGGTTTGCCAAGGAAAGTCCAACCAGGCTACAGCTCACATGGCTCAGTGTGAAAACAAGTTCCATTTGTGGCAGTAAATTCCCACACTGACCCAAGGACTTTGCCGGTTCTCTCAGCGTGATCGGGCCATCCAATTTACAGCTCAGTCCTCCAGAGCCTGCCATGCCAGCGCCTGGCAGAGATGAACGATGGTCAGAAAAGACCCTCCAGCTCATAAATTATGCAGAGGCAATAAACACACTCGGCAAACAGCTCCGAATGTTCACCCGGCCAGGCTCCTGGAGGAAATGCTGGGAGCCCTGAATGCACAGCCAGGCATCTCTGAAAAAAAGTGTTGATGAGAATGAGGGGGCGCAATGAGAGAGAGAAAACCCACAGCTGTGAAGAGTCACTTCGCTCCAACAGCAAGGCAATATATGGGCACAGTTACATAAGGGATAAAAGGATCTGCCCATTTTGATTCTCTTGGTTTCTCATTTCCCCCAACCATAAATTCACCTCTCCATATTTCTGCAGCAATTTGTGTGTTGCTTTTGTTTAATCCTCCTAAGAATTCATCAGTGTTTTGATGCAAATTTCTCCAAATAAGCATTTCTTAGTAATGTGCACATTTCTTAGTAATGTGCTTTTTTGGGAGGGAAAGATGTTTACCTTAATATATGCCTTGTTGCAACATTATTTTGTTGGAGAACTGCATCGCTCAATTCAGAGAAGTCCAAATTTCAAAGGATGGTTGTGTTTTGCTTTGTTTGTTTGTTAATCCCGCGTTCCAGGGAATGGGGAACAGGGGTCTCCTCAAATCTCTCAATGTCAGTGCTTTCTTTTTTCAGGGCGTACTCAAGGGTACACAGTACCGGCGCCTTTGCTTTTTGTTTTCAAAATGTGTGACACTTACTGTAACAAACTTCATGATGAGTACCAGCACCTACTTTTCTAGAAAAAAAAGAACTGCTCAGCATCCTTAGCAGACCATAGTTCCCAGAATTCTTTGGGGGAAACTTTGACTTTTTAAAGAGGCCCACAACTCTGCAGCAACAGAAAACTAAGTTTGACTCATCATCTATAGGACAAGCCTTCAAATTTTTATAGATGGCTACGAAAATCTGTATAGTTAAAGCTATGGTTTTCCCAGTAGTGATGTATGGAAGTGAGAGCTGGACCATAAAGAAAGCTGATCGCCAAGGAACTGATGCTTTTGAATTATGGTGCTGGAGGAGACTCTTGAGAGTCCCATGGACTGCAAGAAGATCAAACCTATCCATTCTTAAGGAAATCAGCCCTGAGTGCTCACTGGAAGGACAGATCCTGAAGCTGAGGCTCCAATACTTTGGTCACTTCATGAGAAGAGAAGACTCCCTGGAAAAGCCCCTGATGTTGGGAAAGATTGAGGGCCCAAGGAGAAGGAAACCACAGAGAACGAGATGGTTGGACAATGTTCTCAAAACTACCAACATGAATTTGACGAAACTGCGGGAGGCAGTGGAAAACAGGAGTGCCTGGCGTGCTCTGGTCCATGGGGTCACGAAGAGTCAGACACAACTAAATGACTAAACAACAACAAAAATCATATGACCTCTTAAGCCCTCTTCAGGAAGAGTGTTGGGGTGCCTTTTCCCAGCCTAAGGGTCACAGTCCCTTGTGGTAAATTTTCTGAGGGCCACATGCTAATATTGGGTGGGGTGAAGGGCAAAGGTAGGTGGACTAATGAATGGTACTCTCACAGCTTTCTGCAGTGGGCTCCATTCCAGCCATGTCCCCACCTGTATCTCTCCATCTTCCAACCAGGGAAGCAAGATACCTTATTACAGTCACCACCGATGGACCAGCTCTTTGAACCAGTTTAAGGCACATTCAGGCATACCTTGAACAGATGCTGGCTTCCAACATTAAAGAGAAGTTAACATATAAGCCTACCCACAGTTTGGAGCAGAAGGTGACATTTGCAGAGCGTAGCATTGTTGTTTTACAATGACACCAGGTGGGTGCATCATTCAATGGCTATTGCAAGGGGAACAGAAAAAGAAAAAAGAAAACGCACTTTCATATTTCAAATCCATTTATCATTGACACCTAAAACCTTCCGCAGCTCAGATCGGGAATTGTAATGCACCTCTCTCTCCCGCTCTAAGAAATCTGAAGGAACTGGAGGGGGAAGCCCCCCACAGACCTCATCTAATGCTCTCCTTGCTACTAACAATATTCTCAGTCATCTATCTGGCAATGACGAGCTGACAGCTTAGGAAAAGGGCAAAGATTAGATTTTAGCTGCACAATTAGATCCTTGCTTCTAAAGGGGGAAGCAGGGAATTACCTTACAGATGAAAACAGATGCAGGCAAGGAACACACCAGCATGAGTGGTGGAATGAATGGTCCTCCTTTGAGAAAGAGTCCTTTACAGCTTTGAGGCTTGCTAGCATATCAGCCTGGCTAGCCCAGCTGACAAGGAGAACAGCCGAACTATTTCGCCGGCATTTTAGACCCCATATGCACCATACATTTAAAGCAGTCAGTATCATACCACATTAAACAGTCATGACTTCCCCCAAAGAATCCTGGGAACTGTGATTTGTTAAGGGTGCTGAGACTCCCATGTCCCCTGAAGGGTTTACAATCCCCAGAGTGGATTAACAACAAATCACTCTTCTTAGGAAACTCTGGGAATTGTAGCACTGTGAAGGGAACAGGAGTCTCCTAACAGCTAACAGCAGCCTTAACCAAACTAAAGTTTCTAGAATGCTTTAGGGGGAAGCCATGGTGATTACAGTGGTATAATAGTGTTTCAAGTCTATGGTGCAAATGTACCAAAGCTGTGACTATATTAGCCAGTTTTGCCATATATATACAGTCATACCTTGGTTTTCGAACAGCCTAGTTCTCGAATGTTCCTGAATGATGGAAACCCAGAAGTGACTGTTCTGGTTTTAGAACGTTCTTTTGGAAGCCAAATGTCCAATGGGGCTTCTGCAGTTTTTGCAGGAGCTTCCTGCAGCCAATCAGAAGCCACACTTTGGTTTTAGAAGGTGAACGGACTTCTGGAACAGATTCCATTCAACTTCCAAGGTACGACTGTACCTTTCCCCCCATATAACAATAGCATTTTTTGCATTCTATTTCTATATAAGCCCACAGAGGGTATTGGTTGTTTATTGATTATCTTTTTGGTGTATTCTATACTTTGGTGAAACTCAGACCTAGAAACAGGGCTAAGAATGAGAGCAGGGAAACACCAAAACCCTTTGTGCTCAAACATGGTCCTTGGGGGCAGCCCTATCAAAGCATGCACTGGGATATATACTCCAAATTTCCTTATTGATCATGGCCAATCCCAGTCCAATGATCCTAGTGCCTGAAGATGGGGGATAAATTCAAAGCAGCTCACATTTAAAGGTTAACCTACCTAATTGGCACTTTCTGACACACTCTGAGAACCATAACATCCCTCCAAATTTGCACTTCTCTGAATTTTGCAACGCTCTTCTCCAGCCCAGAAATGTGTACATGAAATGCATATACTAGGATGAAGTGTGCATTAAAATGCATAGATCAGTGAAAACAACATACAAACATGCTTTCTGTTTGTGAAACTGCATACAAAAATTTGCATATTAGGTGAAATTTCACACGAAAATGCTGATAAATTTTAATGAGGACTTAGAATCATAGAATTGCAGGCTTGGAAGGGACCCTGAGGGTCATCTAGTCCAAACAGGAATCTCAACTGAAGCATCCATGACAGATGGACATCCAACCTCTGCTTAAAAAATCTCCAAGGAAAGAGAGTCCACCAACTTCCAAGGGAGTCCTAAATTGCAACCTGATATGGAAATCCATCTACAGTCTTACCTTGGATCTTGAACGCCTTGGCTCCCAAACTCATCAGGTCCTGAATAATCAAAACCCAGAAGTGAGTGTTCTGGTTTTCAAATGTTCTTTTGGAACCCGAACGTCCACGGCTCCCGATTGGCTGTGGGAGTTTCCTGCAACCAATCAGAAGCCGTGCTTTGTTTTCAGAATGTTTTGGAAGTCGAACAGACTTCTGGAACGGATTCAATTTGACTTCCAAGGTACGACTGTAATTGAACTTAAGATGGGGGGAGGCAGGGAATGAGAAACTGAAAGAAACTAAAACTGACAGATTCACTCTTCCCTAGTCACTATTACCCCTGTCTGCATCTGCCTTTGGAGGATGCCTTGTTAAGATGTTTCATATGAGATGCTAGAGTTGTCATACTTCAGGGTTCATCTTCCTCCCCAGACTCTAGCAGTTAAATCTCTTAGGGGTAGTGGAAAGGGATGGATGCGTTTCGTCCCTATTGCACATGCATCCACACAAAGCTAAGGCATGGTGCAGTCTGCGGCCTGAAGTTTCACAAACACTGCAGCTACAGAGATGTATTTTTGAACTGTCAGCCCAATTCCTGGGACAATTTTGCAAGAGCAAATACACTTCTAGCTTTTAAACCACTGGGAGAAGAGCACTTGCAGGCTGAATGAACGCAGAAGGGAGAGGAGAGACTGCAATATGAGATGTTGGAGAATTTGGATGAAAAAAAGGCACAGGAGCAGAAATTGCAAAGTGTCAGGAGTCAAGGTTCCCAGCTTGATAACACAGTAAGCGTAGGTAATTAAAAAGGAGGATTTATTGCAAACACAAACAGATAGTTCCGGATGGCTCTAACAAAGCCTCAGGCATCATTACTCAAGATGACCCTTCTGAAAACTCTTTCCGGCGTCGACAGAAGATATTGAACTTACAACCCTTACGTTTCTTGTTTTGCTTCCTGTCTAGCAGCCCTCCCATTCACCGACACTTTGGACTTATTGGATCAGCTCCAACCTCTTCCTGTTCCGAGAGGCTGTCTCTGAGTCTGTTCATGCCTTTTTGTGCTTCCTGTGAGCTTTGGCTGTGTTCTAGCCTCCTCTCAACTACTGCCTTATCAGTCTGCCCTTCAAGGTCAGGAAGAGCCGAAGTTTGCAGCTGCCAGCTCTCCCCTGCCTGACTAACATCTAAGCTTCTCTGTTCCTGGCTGCTTTCTGAAGTTGGCTGCAAACCTTTGCTGGGAGCTGGCTCATTCCTGACACAAAGGTTTATTTGCCCTGTGTTGGCATAGGGTAGACACATGCTGAGCCAGTCAGTGTAGTGTGCAGGCAGCCCTGGACATCTAAGGGCATCTCAGACCTGTTATTGCTCAATTTCGGGTGGCTGAATGCCACTTGTCCCTCTTTTACATAATGGGTGTTGGCTTATATTATGGATGTATGCTCTGTATTATTTTATTAGCACTATTGCTACAAGCCTGTCACGGCCTCTGGCTATAACAAAAAACTTCTGAACTAGAACTATTTGTCCCATGTCTGGGATGGAAATAAATCCCAGGAATAAGATCAGTATTTGCTGCTGTTGTTGCCTTCAGTCCACAAATGAGAAGTAACTGATTACTCCCCCACTCCTCTGTGTTTCCTCTGTATTGAAATTAATGAGGTGAAATAATGCAAAGGCAACACAACTTACACGATTAATTATGTGAATTCCTTAATTTTACTGCAGTGGACAGTGAGGTGAAGAACACCATTTTGGGCAGAAGGGAAATTGCAGCAGACAAGAAACTGTGATGCATGCAGTGAATGCATCATGAAATGGAAAATGATGCCTACCCACATCCTTGGCAGTGGGAGAGCCAGTGTGGTGTAGTGGTTAAGAGTGGTAGACTCGTAATCTGGGGAACCGGGTTCGCTTCCCCGCTCCTCCACATGCAGCTGCTGGGTGACCTTGGGCTAGTCACACTTCTCTGAAGTCTCTCAGCTCCACTCACCTCACAGAGTGTTTGTTGTGGGGGAGGAAGGGAAAGGAGAATGTTAGCCACTTTGAGACTCCTTCGGGTAGTGATAAAGCGGGATATCAAATCCAAACTCTTCTTCTTCTTCTTGGCAGCGGTGGAGCATGTGCCCGTGCTGCCCATGGCGGGTGCACTCCCGAGGGGGGCTGGGGACGGAGGGTTACCTCATAGTTGTGGGAGAGCCACTCAGGTACACGGAGCAGCACGTGCACCCTGCAGCTGGGGCAGAGCGAGCCACCCATGGGGGCAGAGTGAGTTGCCGATGGCAGACACTCAGTGTTCCACCCACCCGCGACTCCCAAGCCTCCCCCAGCTGTCAAAACAAAGGGGGAAGGAGGGAATGCTTCCGGCAAAGTGGCGCAGCTCCCCTGTTCCCCCAATGGCTCGGGGTAGGCTTGGAAGTCACAGGCAGGCAGCACACCAAATGTCACCCCCCCCTCAGCAAAGACACCAGGGGTGATCCACCCCCACCGCACCCCCCCTTCCTCTGCCCCGATCCTTGGTAATGTGTTCTTGTGTGTAAGCCTTGGTATGAGAGGTGCATAGTGTTACCACAAACAGACGCACACAAACAGATCAACAGTAGGTTTCAGAAGCAAATGGCATGTGTACCATATTGACCTGAATGCAGACTGTGGTTTCCTCCTCGAAACTGGCTTATAAGAAACCTATGTGTGGTTTTTATTTGGGGACGGCCTATATTTGGGTAATACGGTATGTTAGCTTTCATTTCCTCCTCCCATTTAGGGGTTCACACAATCCCCAAACAACTGAAGTGCCATATGCGACTTGTAAAACAGGGTTCCATTTACTCAAACATGTTCACGCTCTCAAGTATTTTGTCTGCCTTTCATCCTTTGAGATATTTTGTCTCCTGCAAAAACCTCTCTGTTTTCTTTTTACAGGTAAATTAGAATAATATTCTTCTCATAATGTGTTTTCCGTATTATCTTTTTAGATGCAAAAATGAGACAATTATCTGCGTGTATTTCTTTCCTTTATAGGGAGAGAGAGAGAGAAGAAACACAGTCTCCAGGAGGCAGGAGTGGTTTAAACCAGGAAGGCTATATGTAAAGAGGAATCACATCTTCAGTGTCTCAGACAAAGACCAGAGCGGGGACAGAGTTACAGCAGGATCTACGCCATCCAGAATCAAACAACATAGAATAGTTATTCTTTGCGGTAGGAAAATATAACATGTCCCTGTTGTGCTCAGAGTGCCATTGCGATTATGTGAACAAAATGGCACACTACTCACTAAAGATAAGTGAATCTGTTGATTTCAGTTTCTTCTTGTTTAGTTCTCCACATTTCAACATCAGTTTGCATTATATTAAAAAAATCCTTTTGAAATTTCATCAGCATTTGAGCGTGAATTTCTCTGAATATAAACATTTTAGTAGACTAGGGTCGCTATATTTCAAAAAGTGAAAATATGGGCAGTTGAACTTTTTGTTTTGTTTTTATTGCCCAAAATTGTTGAGCTTTCTTCCTGAAATCTCAAAGAAAAAAGAAAAAAGAGTTGTTGAGCTATTTTTCATGAAATTTGCTAAAATCTACACTACCGACGTGGGCTGCCATTTGTCCGGATTTTCCTGGACATCTCAGGGATTTCTGCCTGGGCACCGTTTACAAGGACTGAATACCAGCTATGTCGGGAAAATTTTGGTATACAATTTTGACTAATATATTATTATTATTATTGCAAAATGTGATATAATGCATTTTTTAAAGGGGTGGGAGTCAAGGGAGGAGAAGGGATAGTGAATTACCCAAGTGCAGGAACTAAAACCAGGGTTTGCCCCTCTTAAGTCTTGAATCTTTGAGCGGAGGTGCAAGTGCAGTGGAGCCAAATAAGTGGGCAGGAGAGAAATGGTAATAGTCAAAGGCCCAGCTGGTCCATCATCCTCTTTCTCACAACCCCAATGAGATGCCCACAAGCAGGACCTATATGCAACAGTCCTCTCCTGCTGTTGTCTTCCAGTAATTGATATTCAAAGATATGTTGCCTCTGATCCTGGAAGCATTTGATTGATTGATTGATTGATTGATTGATTGATTGATTGATTGATTTTATATACCACCTCTATCTTCCAAGGAGCTCAAGGTGGTGTACATGGTTCTCCTCCTCCTCATTGCATCTCCACCCAGACCCTGTGAGGTAGGTTAGGCTAAGAGATCGTGACTGGCTCAAAGTCACCCAGAGACCTTCGGAGCTGAGTGGGGATTCAAACCTTGGTCTCCCAGGTCAAAGTCCAACACTCTATATCCATTACAAGCCACTGGTCATTTACTCCTCCATGACTATGCCTAATCCCCCTTTAAAGCAAATGGAGACCGTGTACCATCACCATAACTTATATTTCCTTCAGGGATCTCAAGTTCTTAGCCTGACACTTTAACCACTACATGACACTGGTTTCCTTATGGAGCAGAATGCAATAATTTTTGCTGGGGCTTTGCACCACATCAGACCAAATCTGAGATCCCAAATAGAGCCAATTTGGATAGACTCGGGATTCGGCTGGATAAGGTTGAAGCAGCCCTGCATCAACCTCGCTCAGTTTGAGTCCATTTGGAGTGAACTGGGGCTGCCAAATAGGGGGTGGCCTCATGGTAGGTGAGGAGAATGAGATATATCTCCTTTCCTTCTCCCAACTGCATGTTTAACCAGGGTTTAAAACTCTGGTTAAACATACAGTCTGGAGGTGGGTGGAAGGGAAGGCATGTCTCCTTCTCCTTACCCCTTCCAACCCCATGACTTTGCAAGGCTTGGTTTGGGGCTTGGATCCATATCAAGCTTGCCCCAGATTACCCCAGGTCAGATCAGGCCCTGAATATGATTTGAATTTGTGCATGTGTGTGTTAGGTAAAGGTAAAGGGACCCCTGACCATTAGGTCCAGTCGCAGATGACTGGGGTTGCGGCACTCATCTCGTTTTATTGGCCGAGGAGGCCGGATTATAATTTCCAGGTCATGTGGCCAGCATGACTAAGCCACTTCTGGCAAACCAGAGCAGCACACAGAAACGCCGTTTACCTTCCCGCTGGAGCGGTACCTATTTATTTACTTGCACTTTGACGTGCTTTTGAACTGCTAGGTTGGCAGGAGAGGGACCGAGCAACGGGAGCTCACCCTGCCGCGGGGATTCGAACCGGCGACCTTCTAATTGGCAAGCCCTAGGATCTGTGGTTTAACCCACAGCGCCACCTGCGTCCCAATGCATGTGTATATTATGTCCTTCCAAATGTCTGTTCTGAATTTAGTGGTACTGGATGACACACTGGGGTGATAGATAAAAATGGATGCACGTAACGGGTTAAAATAACACACAGGCCCTTCTGCTTTTTTCTCCCACCCCAACCGTGTTGTGATCCGTAAGAAATCACCCTGAACATTTGCTTCTTTCTTCTCTGCCTGTGAAGCCAATTGCTTTGATTGCAGCGATACGAGATTGCCAGGATGACTTGCCCTTGCTTGCGAAGCAAATGGAACATGCTAATAGAACTTATCACATTACCCGATGCAGAAGTGCCATAGCTCATTACTTTAAGATAAAGGGATATCATTGCGGACGGGAAGCAGGATTGACTTTCGGAGGCCCGACTTGATGATGATTTAATCAACTGCTCTCTTTCACTTCTCATCTCTGCGCCTGTCGGTTTCGCAGGTGCCGTTAAATGAGACACTCAGAAAGGGAGCGCAGGGAGAGAAATTGCTGTCATTACTTCTCAAGAAAGAAAGTATGCAAATCCTCGACAGACAGATTGCGTTCATAATGGGCCCAGTAAAATACAAGGAGCACGCTTGACAGGTGAGGGCAAGTTATTTGTACGTCCTTAAAGGGAAGCAACTGTCCTCATTTAGAAATTGTGCTTGAGAAGGTGGGGGGGAGAGGGAAATGGCAGGTGAAAACCAGGCATTGCAGATCAGAAGCTGGGAAGGGAGTCCTCTAATGCCAGGGTGGGGAAATCTCAGGCCCAGGGGCCAAATGCAGCCCTCCAGACCTCTTCATCTGGCCTCCATTGGCCCTGCTTCACCCCCAAGTGTTTTTGTCCAGCCATAACATGTCCAAGGTGGGCCTTGAGTGTGTGTAGAAACTAGCCCACCAAAGATAAAGTTAGCATCTGCTGATTTGTCCATTTTTGCCTCTGAACCTTGCTCAGACTCCTGGCATGTGGACCCCAGAAGCTTGTCACGAAGGGAATGCGGCCCTCAAGCTTAACATAAAACACTCCTCCTCCTCTAATACAACCCCAATTGTGTGGCAAGCATTACTGAATGCTAATCACCCTTCTTTTATGCATTCCGGTCAACAATGAAAGTGGGAGATTTTTTTGTCACAGCTCTTGCAAGGAGACTGTTGTCATATAGGATGCATCAACAGAGGTATAGTGTCCAGATCAAGGGTAGTAATAGGATCATTCAATTCTGCCTTGGTCAGACCACGCCTGGAATACTGTGTCCAATTCTGGGCACCACAATTTAAGAAAGATGTTGACAAGCTGAAACATGTACAGAGGAGAGCGACCAAGATGATCAAGGGCCTGGAAATCAAGCCTTTTGAGGAATGGCTGAAGGAGCTGGTGATGTTAGCCTGGGAAAGAGGAGGTGGAGAGGATATATGATTTTGTTGTTGTTTAGTCGTTTAGTCGTGTCCCACTCTTCGTGACCCCATGGACCAGAGCACTCCTGTCTTCCACTGCCTCCTGCAGTTTGGTCAAACTCATGTTGGTCGCTTCTATAACACTGTCCAACCATCGCGTCCTCTGTCATCCCCTTCTCCTTGTGCCCTCAATCTTTCCCAACATCAGGATCTTTTTCAGGGAGTCTTCTCTTCTCATGAGGTAGCCTAAGTTTTGGAGCCTCGGCTTCAGGATCTGTCCTTCCAGTGAGCACTCAGGGCTGATTTCCTTCAGAATGGAGAGGTCTGATCTTCTTGCAGTCCATGGGACTCTCAAGAGTCACCTCCAGCACCATAATTCAAAAGCATCAATTATTCGGCAATTAGCTTTCTTTATGGTCCAGCCATCTTCAAACATCTAAAGGTTTGTCACATGGAAGATAGAGCAAACTTGTTTTCTCCTGCTCTGGAAAGTAGGACTCGAACCATTGGCTTCAAGTTACAAGAAAGGAGATTCTGACTAAACATACAGAAAAACTTTCTGACAGTAAGAGCTGTTCGACAGTGGAACAGTCTCCAACCTTGGAGGTTTTAAAGCAGAGGTTTGATGGCCATCTATCATGGATGCTTTAGCTGAGATTCCTGCATTGCAGGGGTTGGACTAGATGACCCTTGGAACTCTTCCAGGATTCATTCTATCTATCTATCTATCTATCTATCTATCTATCTATATTTAAAGAAATCTTCATAAAATAAATTCATCCACATTTTAGTGTGAATCTTGTCTAATAAACATAGTTTATGGAGAACTGAAATTAGTATTGGGAAAATGAGAAATGGGGGGGGGGACCAAAATTGACAGATTCATCCATCCTTATTAAACAGAGACAAGTCCAAGGAAACTAGGGACCGTCTCTGGTCAATACAAATAGCTGGAACATATGCAAGAGCCACATATATTTTGCCTTTAGGTATCAAAGGATGCATGAAGCCAGAACCTCTTTGAAATACAGCACACACACTTGCTCATTCGCTCTGTGGCAGCGGCAGCGGGTGGGAAGGGGGGGAGAAAGGGAGAGATGTCAACCTGGCAATTGGTTTGTATGCATACTGCCTGTTTACATCTGTTAGATTTACAGTAATCCTTGCTTTCCCCGAGGTCTTGCATGGACAATTTAAATTATAAATCATCCCAAGAAGATAAAAGCTGCCATAAATAATAAAGAGTAAAATAGATCACAACTATGCCAGTAATGAATTATAAACCAGTAAGAAAGGGTGGGGGGAGGGAGGGAGAAGGGGAAATACATTTTATAAGATAGGGCTAGATGGAAGAGTTGTTTCCCTGTGTTATTACAATGAGACTGAGACAAATTTAATGGAAATGTGAAACCTGTCGGATATGGATGCCTAACATTCCATCCATGCCTATTCATATATCACTTTAGCTCAGTTATATGCTGGATGTTGCTGGACTACAACTCCCACAATCCCTGGCCATTGGCTGTGCTGACTGCAGCTGATGGGATCTGGAGTCTAACAACATTTGGAAGACCACAGATGGATTAAACCACATCCCTGGTTTAAAAATGCCCAAGCTGTAAATTACTATAGTTTTTGAAGGAAACCCTCACCCCAAAGAAGAATGCACTCCCTCGGGTTTTTATTGGGTTGTGTCCAACCAAGATCTACTCAAGAAAGACCCATTGAAATTAATGAACCTATGTTGGTCGTGTCTATTAACTTCAATGCCACTACTCTGTATAGGACCAGCATTGGCTACAACACACTGAGAAGGCCTAGCCCCATGGTTCTTATCTGGGAGAAAAGTGCAGTTGGAAGGAACAAAGGAATCACAGAATCATAGAACTGTAGAGCTGAAAGGGACCCTGAGGATCTTCTAGTCAAGACCTTCATCATCTTGGTCACCCTCCTCTGCACCTGTTCCAGCTTGCGAGTAGCATTCTTAAACGGTGGTGCCCAGAACTGGACACAGGACCTCAGGTGTGACCATGTCTGAATAGAGTGGCACTATTACTTCCCTAGATTTGGACACTATACTTCTGTTGTTGCAGCCTAAAATAGCATTAGTGTTTTGTTTTTGATTTCAGGTTTTGTTTTGTTTAGTTTTGTTTTGCTGCTGCTGCTTCACACTGTTGACTTGTGGTCCACTAATATCCCTAGATCCTTTTCACATGTGCCACTGGCAAGCCATGTAGTCCCCATCCTATATTTGTGCATCTGCTTATTCCTGCCTAAGTGCAGAACCTTACATCTGTCTCTATTGAAATTTGTGTTGTTCGTTTAAGTCCAGTTCTCCAACCTGTTAAGGTCATTTTGAATCCTGACTGTCTTCTGAGGTATTAACTACCATATTTTTTGCCCTATAGGATGCACTTTTTCCCCTCCAAAAATGAAGGGGAAATGTGTGTGCGTCCTATGGGGCGAATGCAGGCTTTTGCTGAAGCCTGGAGCGCAAGAGGGGTCAATGCGCACCGACCCCTCTCACTCTCCAGGCTTCAGGAAGCTATCCGCAACGCGTGGGAGAGCTGCGCGACTTCGCCCAGCTCTCCCATGGCTTGTGGAGAGCTGCCTGCACCCCGAAGCCGGGGGGCGTGCTGAGCTCAGCACCCCCCAGGCTTTGGGCTTCGTGCACCTCTCCACAAGCCGTGGGAGGGCTGCGTGAAGTCGTGCAGCTCTCCCACAGCTTGTGGAGAGCTGCCTGTTCTGGGGGCTGGGGTCGGGGGAAGCTCGGGCTTCCCCCGCCCCAGCCCCGTGCCTGGGGGGGAAATATTTCTTTTTCTTTATTCCCCCCCCCAAAAAACTAGGTGCACCCTATGGGCCGGTGCGCCCTATGGGCCGAAAAATACGGTACCTTTCCCAGTTTTGTGTCATCTGCAAATCTGATGGGCAGCCCCACAATCCCTTCATCCAAGTCATTTATAAATCTGTTAACAACACCAGGACCAGGACAGAACCCTGTGGCACCTTGCTTGTCACTTTTTTCCAGGATGATGAAGAACCATTGATGAGCACTATTTGGTTTTAACCAGTCAACCAGTTACAAACCACCTATCTCAAATCACTGAAATGCACCACTCCTACTGGTGGGGAAGGGAAAACACTCCAATTCCTGGATTTAAAACCTGAAACTCCCCTTGTCTTAATTTCTGGAGGACTGGATTTGAAGGTAAAACAGAAGAACAAGAAGACAACAGAATAGGGAAAATGAAGAAACCTGCCCTTTCTGAAATCTAACCCCCCCCTCCCCCAAATTCAAGCTATATGTGGGCCTGTTGCAGCATGCAGTAGCAACACACAATATTCTCTCCTTATGATCATCCACAGGCTTCAGCATGCCTATGATTAAATGGCAGAAGTCCCACATGAACTCCCCATCTACATGGGGTTTGCAGCCATTCCTGCTAGACACATCCTCTGGAAATGTAACCACATGTCGCCAATGCAATAAGATTCAGAATCTGTACTGTACTGAATAAATCCTGCTGAAAGCCAAACACAATGACCCATTACTACTACTACTACTACTACTACTAATAATAATAATAATAATAATTTATTACTTATACCCTGCCCATCTGGCTGGGTTTCCCCAGCCACTCTGGGCAGCTTCCAACAGGAGATTAAAAATACATTCAGACATCAGTCATTAAAAACTTCCCTAAACAGGGCTGCCTTCAGATGTCTTCTAAATGTCAGATAGTTGTTTATTTCTTTGACATCTGATGGGAGGGTGTTCCACAGGGCAGGCGCCACTACCGAGAAGGCCCTCTGCCTGGTTCCCTGTAACTTCAAATCCATCTCACAGTGAGGGAACTGCTAGAAGCCCTTGGCGCTGGACCTCAGTGTCCGGGCTGGACGATGGGGGTGTAGACGCTCCTTAAGGTATACTGGGCCAAGGCCATTTAGGACTTTAAAGGTCAGCACCAACACTTCAAATTGTGCTCGGAAACATACTGGGAGCCAATGTAGGTCTTTCAAGACCGGTGTTATGTGGTCTTGGCATCCGCATGCATAAATACATACATACAACTGACCA